ATATACATTAAATTTAGTCGATATTTACTCTCGTAGATACCTTTGAAATTCAAAAAACACTTCAGGAACAGGTAAATCAGGGAAAGAGTAAGAAAATGTCTGAAATACAGATATTACGCAAAGTGAGTTACGTTAAGAGTTCACAATGCTCAATGGCCGTTTTGTTTTCTCCTGAGTTTCAGAATCTTGGAGGTTTTCACACGAACGCTGAGAGAAAGAGACGGTAAATCATTCTACGATTAATCTTTCTAAGTGAGGAGTTATTCACCGAATACTAATACGTACAACAAAATACTTTAATATTTCACGACTTGAATAAAAAATAGAAACTACATTTGCGAAGATACTCATGGGAAATAATTATATTTTAGTGAACGGAGATTAATTTTGCACCACTGAAGTCTTTGTAGTACTAAAAGGATTCATAGAGTAACGTACATGTAATTTACTGTTCAGTGCTTTTACAGTTGTATTTCATTTTTTCATTTATATATATATATATATATATATATATATATATATATATATATATATATATATATATATATATATATATATATATGTATATATATATATATATATATATTTATACATTTTGGAAAAGATGCAGTGTTGACCTTTGTGTGTATATATATATATATACATATATATATATATATATATATATATATATATATATATATATATATATATATATATATATATATATATATATATATATATGTATATATATATATATATATATATATATATATATATATATATATATATATATACATATATAATATATATATATATATATATATATATATATATATATATATATATATATATATATATATATATATATATATATAATGTATATATATATATATTTTTTTTTTAACAGCCATTCATTCTATATATATATATATATATATATATATATATATATATATATATATATATATGTGTGTGTGTGTGTGTGTGTGTGTGTGTGTGTGTGTGTGTGTGTGTGTGTGTGTGTGTGTGTACATATATACATTAAATTTAGCCGATATTTCCTTTTAGAGTAAAACTAATAGTGTAACGTCATTAAAAATAATTCCAGAAAGGTTTTAATCTTTCTTGTAATTTGTAGAATGTTAATCCCCAGTTATCAAAATACTTGAAGTGTTGTTGATCATCACGACAAATGTGTTGTAATGAAGTTTAGCAACCACACACTTGGATACATTCTGATACATGTGCATTTGATACATCTACGCATACATAATTGGAACCTGTTGAAACTTTTCTTTCTTTTTCTCTTTTAGTATCAAGTCAGTGGCCCCTAACCTTTCCATCCCGTGAGCCACGATCAGTATATGATAATTTCCATGGCTCATGTTCTGCGTCTCATCTTTAAAGATTCAGATATCACATGATATGACTAGTTTAATGGTGTCAATAGTTATAGGACGAGAACGGGAAAAAAAATATTTCAGTTTATTGATATGTGATCGATGATTATATATAGGTTCCATAGGTGGGATAAAATTCAGTTTGATTCGTTATAATTTTCCTGTTGTTCCATGGCCTTAGGAAAGTACGGCACCCTTGCTCTAAGTCAGTATAATAAAGTCAGTGACATGCGAATCATAATAATAATGCCAGTGAAAGTCTCGAATCATCTTCAAGTACATAGTTTAAAATAATGTTTTAAAGTCATGTATTAGATATAATTCAAGTCTCCTTGTCCCAAAAATAGAAGTTCCATTGAAAACTAATTCGTTAAATATAATTGAGAGGTCTTTTTAATTTATTGAATATGACTGAGGACGTGGTTTGAACATTACGATGTGTACACAAATAGTAGTTTGTATTTTCATATAGATTCATGTATCATGTGATGTGTTTAAGTCTAATATTCTGTTATCTGGGCATTACTTTGCTACATTAGTTAAAACGTTTTTAATCTATTCAATTAAATGCATTTTTTATTCAATAGATGTGAACAAACTCGGGAGTTTTTTTTGTGTATGTTGATTTCTTACTTAATATTTTTTGTAACATCAATATACCATTAATATATTAGTTGAAGCATTAGTAAATTTCCTGATTCCATGATTATATTATATCATTATAGATTATATGTTAAATATCTATTACAGTCCTGTTATCAACCATTTTCTTTTCTCTGTTTCCGCCTTGATGGGTATGTATCAATTTATCTATCTATCAGTCAACTTTTAACTTTTGTCTGCATGCAATTATACATTAATGGAAATACATAAAATTCCGTTGCTTGGTCTAGCGTCAGTTATGTGATACACAACTATAGAAATATGTATTCATTGTACAATTATAAGAAGAAGAATAAATAATCTATATGATTTTCCTTATCATTTCTTTTAGTATTATTATAATTATCATCGTTGCTATTAATATAATTATCACTAATAGTATTGTTAGCATCATTACTGTTACTGTCATTACTATTATCACCATTGTCATTACTATCGTCATATCTTCGTTATTA